TCGAGTTTTTAACTCTCTTTTTTGACTTCATCTTTAACATGATGTTCTCACCTATTTTGCACGTTCTTGGGTAAAACAATACATATCGACGTTGAATATTGTTAGGGCGATCGCAAAAACAAAGGTCAATCCACGAGATCGGCGTTTTGAAAAGAAAATGAGAAAATACTTATGCATCTTTTCCACGAGCTAAATCACCATTGAATATTGCTGGTCTGATGGCCCATGCCCTTGCCACTCTCGGGTGACACAAAACCTTTTGGTTTCTATCCATGACGCGACTCGGACACGTCTTTCACCAAATTGGCATACTTTACTTCTAGTGGGTGAAGGTAGAAATACCTCGATCCTTCTTTTGCAGTTCTCCACACATAAATGAAGTTATGCTCCTCCCTTGTCGGATCAGACCATCCTCTAGAGACAAACATCACCATCAAGGAATACAAGCGATAAATCACGTTCAGGTGTATCTGTATAATGGCGATCCCCCATTCCTCTAAGTATTCGACGATCACAGAAAGCAGCGGGAACCTCTGTCCTGACAATATCATCTCTTTATGTACCACTACACTCCTCTCTGGCGGATAATTAAACTGCTTACTTAATACGGTGCAAACATATTAACGACCCAGAGAATCCCACACTTTTTGAACAGTTTGAATCGTTCAGAATCTTTTGAGGTGCTCGCATGAGTACAGATCTCCATGTCACCATCCTTCGTCGATTTTTGCACCGGCGGACGGTGCCAACAACCCTTCGATGTTGGAATCTAGTTTTTGCACCAGATGAAAACTAACGATCACCCCGATCATCTGAATACACCTGAACAAAGTTGGTATAACTGCCCGACATATCTAATCAACTTTTTCATGAAAACATGTGTCGCCACTGACACTTTTTTTCGTGTATAAATATCGGCTCTTAAGCACGGAAGAAGAAAATCCAAAATAAGCTAAGCGAAAATACTCATAAAGCCGACCTTTGCTAATTCCTCAAAAATCATCACGATCACTACCACTTTATTTAATATTACATCATCTGATCTCCCGCAGGCCACATACAACACATTCGGTTGTAATTCTCATACACTATTTAATAGTACCCTGGAGAAATCCTCTCCCTGTTGATAGGTTGTCTCACTATATTTTCATCATTATATTCTTGCGATCTCTTCATACCTCATATATCTGAAACTTACAATAATTATATCGCAACTCCCTAATAAATTGTCATAAACATGTTTATTGTAACCGTTGACGACTCACCACAAACACTATCACTTGAAAATTTTGTTCTACATAGAGAATATACAGTAACGCGATTCCAGAATATTCAGGTTGTCTTGATATTAATATAAAAATCTATAACTTTGTTGCAGTGATATGAATTTGCTACATATGCTCAACAATAAAAGATTATGGAATAACTAAAACATGATCCAAGTATTTTAGAAATTCTTTTACCTATCAAACGAAATATTTTAGAAATTTTATCAATGGGCAGTTACTTAGAATGTAAAAAACCATAATGATGAATTAACTGTAGAGTTATTAGCACAACATAATTATCTATTAGAACAACATTTTTTCGTTCCTACAATTCTATGCATACAGGCACGACATTGCACTTATAAGAACAACTAATGTCGTGCTTGTAGTGCAATCGATCTATAGGCACGCCCAATGAATGTCGTTGCTATATAAGTACCCAATAGGCACGACTCAGCTATCGTTCCAATTTTGTCGTGCCTACTAAGCACAAATCTTGTAGTGGGAGAGTCCTCTGTCGTGCGCGAGTGTATGGCTCCAACATGATTTGGAGGGAATGCCTTATCCCCGTCAGGTTTATATTAGGCTTTGCATTGGCCTCCCTCTCTTGCACCGAAAAAAAATAGTCAGATAACTAGGATGCGATTGTAAATTAATTATTGATTCTAATCGATTTTGACCGATTGAATTATTTTATACGAACCAAAATTCAGTCTAAATCAATGTTATTACTTTTTACAATATTATAATTAAATAAATCAAACAATCATCCTCGCATCAATTTTAACTCTTTATTTATCCAATTACATAATTTAACTACATATTACTTCCAATAACTTCTATCATACTTTTGCATTGCATCAATTTAAAACATTACATTTTAAATATTATTTAATTACAGACTCGTAATCATCCACTCGATAAAATTTATACAAAATATCTCATTTTAACCAATCAAGCTGATGTAGCGCAGCGTACGAATGGGAAATAAGGGAAGAGAGGTCTCTCTCGAATACGTAATCTTCTTATTCAAATTCAATTGCATATAACAAAAGATTTTATATTTTATAAACATTTGTTACATGAATTATTTCTCAAAATTAATATATTAATTTAAGGAAATATTTTGAAAAAAAAAAATCTTTCGATCATTCGGTGATTGAAATATGTTACTGCTTAAGTTGATTAAATTAATCATAGATGATAATTAAAATAGTCTAAAACAATAAAACAACTTGGGTTGATCCTTGGTCATGGTCAGTATGGCCAGACCAAATCAATCATGAAAACTAAACAGAAACTTTAAGATTTAAAATACTTTGTTAATGTGCTATAATCCAAGTTCCAAAAATAATTTTATGAAAATGTGTTCATTGATTTATGAATATTTATATATCATTTTAATAATATTTATGTAACGTAGATGATATTGCATCATATTACAAGTTTTATTAATGTATGGTAAATTAAAGTTTCTCATAACTTCTGTAATATCCCAACTTTTATCAGTATAATAATATTTCAGTTCCGATATTTTTCGGAGTTAATTATTTTCAGTTATTTCAGTCAAAATTACCGGAACTATTTTCGACGTACCGTTTACGTTCGAAATAATTTTGGTAATTTAGCATTATGTTTAATTAGATAATTAAACATAATTAAGTGATTAATTTAACTTAATCACGAGATTAGTAATTGTTCGGATTTTATTCCGAGTTCATGTTCGATGCCGTGCGTTACTCGAACCTAAGTTCACGCGTATGCCGTGTGTGGTGCGTTTGATCGAGCCCATGACCAAGTATCGTGCGTGTCGAGTGTTCATGCCGTGCGAGTGCCATGTGCGTGTGTGCTCGTCTAAGGATCCGTACCCATCAACAAGTAATGGAGACCGAGTGCGCGTGTTCGTCCGAAGTCCGTGCGCCATCCGCGTCCGTGAACGCCGCGCGAGCAATGTGGGCGGAGAATCCTAGGGCATGTGGAAGGCCGTGCGTCTCCTTGGCATGTAGTGAGTGAGTATCCGCGCCCCTTTTGCCTCATTGTCCGTGCGCCTTGTCCTCTAGCCGGCGGAGTCTCCAAGGCCGTGCATGTAGGGCGCTTTTGTCCCATTGTGCATAGAGTCCGTGCACAATGACCGAGTCTTTCCCCCCTCAATTCCTCCGCCATCATTCACGTGCATGAGACCTATATTCCCCCTCTTTTCCTCCGCCACATTCGGTTTAAGTAAGGGACTTGGGAAAATTAGTTCCATTTCCTTCTCCTTATACTTAGTGCCGAAGGATATTGAGAGAGTTTAGTGCATTTGGGGAGGTATTAAGGTGGTGAGAATTTAAGTGTTGTTCTCGTTCATATTGCCGAGAGTACCGCGAGCCTCAAGCTACCGCACTCATCCGAGAGCCATCACGCGTTGCGCAGCCCGTCACGCGTATCGCGAGTAAGTACCGTCCGCGAGCAGCAGTCCAGCAAGTCACGCACGCAACGCTACACACGCACCGCACGCGGAAAGTCACGGCCGAGAGCGGTTTCAAGTCGTTCAACCTCTTGAGTCATTATAAGAGGTGAGTCCCGTCGACTTCTAACCGAGAGTGTTAACATGTTTATTAAAATGAGATTTTATGTTCATGCATGCGTGATTTATGCGAGCCGTAGCCATTGCCGTGCATCATGATACATGTTAAATAAATCATCTGAATCATGTCATTATTTTCAAGGAATTCACCGAGTAAACCTTACATGATTAGCTTTTATTTGCAAAAATATGTTTATATGAACTCATGTATTCGGGAGAATTAAGTCATGTTAATTAGATATTCGGCCGAGGGTAACGTGGTCGCGCACGTAGCGCACCACGGGCCGTACTTGCATGTTCCACATGTTGAGTTAGAATTCTCCGAATAATCCCCGGATACTTAGTCCTTATTTGCAAAATCATGTTTAATTGAACTTATGTATTCGGTGGAATTTAGTCGTTTTAACGGGGTTTGGCCGAGAGGGGATGTGGTCGCACACGTAGTGCGCACCACTGCCACCCGAGTACTTTTTC